TTGTCCAAGGGACTTTCTAGAATTTTCTCCAGGGCCACAGTTTGAAAGCATCAATTATTTGGTGCTCAGCCTTCTTTACCATCCAATTCTCACATCTGTACATGACTACTGGAAAAACCATAGCTTTGACTATATGTACTTCTGTCAGCAAAGAGATTTCTCTGCTCTTTAATATGCTTTCTAGGTTTGTCATAGCTTTTCTTCCAAGAAGCAAGCATCCTTTAATGGCTGTACCAATTTACATTCCCACCAACAGTGTAGGAGGGTTACCTTTTATCTTGGGAAGCAGATTTTGACTATATTGTTGGGAGCAGTTGGTACTTAGCAGCTGTGTGACTTGATGAAAGTTACTTAACCTCTCAGGCCTAGGTTTACCCTCTAAGAGAAAATTGTTATTGTTTTTATTTCAATAATCAGTGACTGGTGGGTACAGAAGCATGGGAGTGCCTCATGGGAGTGACTTTAGGTGATGCTGCCTAGCTTGCTATTTACCCATCTCAGATCTGCATTTTAAAATGTACTGTGAAGTGACATAAATGGGGATGGAAAGCAAAGATGATAAGGAGAGAAAAGACCTCAAGAGGAGGACTATTTGGTTAGCAGGGGACTTTTTGGTTTTCCATTTTTTAAAAAAATCAATTTACTTTTTATTGAAGGATAATTGCATTTTTATACAATATGAAAACCCACTTGGAAATTTTTACTTGGAATCTTTGGCGACTTTGGTAAAATTCTTGACGTTTTCTTTGTTTCAATATCCCTGATATAATATTGGGATTAAAAGTATCTGAATAGTTTTAGATTCTATCCAAAATACACTCAGGGCCTTTATTGGCTACAGAAAATCAGTCCTGAATATTCATTGGAAGGACTGATGTTGAAGCTGAAACTCCAATACTTTGGCCTCCTAGTGTGAAGAACTGATTCATTAGAAAAGACCCTAATTCTGGGAAAGATTGAAGCTAGGAGGAGAAGGGGAACACAGAGGATGAAATGATTGGATGTCTTCACTGACTTGATGGACATGAGTTTGAGCAAGCTCCGGGAGTTGGTGATGAACAGGGAAGCCGGGCGTGCTGCAGTCCATGGGGTCACAAAGAGTTGGACATGACTGAGTGACTGAACTGAACTGTCCACATCATTGGTGAGCTCTGTCTCTTTAGGGAAAGCATCTTCATCATCTCCTCATTTCTTTACCCAATAAACTGGTGTTAAAGGGAAGAAGGGATTAATTAATATGGGTACCTATATGTGCCATACTGGCCATTCTCACACCCTGAATTTTATTTAAAGTTTTGAGTGTGTTCTTATATTCTCTGTGCAAATATAGGCTATTTCATAGTCAGCAATCATCATTGTTAGGCTAAAATTCTGCCATCAAGGAAGTAAGGGGTTTGTTTCCTGGCCCCACTGGGCTGATTCTGTATACTACATTGTTCCCGCTTCTCAGGAATGTCTTTGAGCTTCCTGCTTCTGTGTCCAGGGCCCCTGCAAGGGAGCCATCTCTCTGCCAAGCTCACTCTGCACCTCACTGAGGTCTTGGTTCTAAGTCACCTTCTCAGCGAGGACTGAAGCCCCCACCCCTGCATCCCACTCTGCTTTCTACCTTTTGCACCTGCAATATGTATCTGGTGTAAATCAGGTGGACTCTGCTTCTCACATTCTCTCAGGGCCTGAAAGGGGAGTGTGTGACTCTACCACATGCCTGCAAGTAGGAGTGCTGTGATGCTTGGTGAATTGTACCAGTGACCACCATGATCTCTCTCTAGCTTCCAGATGTTTTGTCTGTCTCTCCCTCATTAGGAGAGACACACTCTTCCTTTCTTCAATTGAGGCAACCCAAAAGATCCACCCAGTGCCATCCCCAGCATTGGGGTTGCCTGTATATACACCATCAAGATGTACGTGGCTTTCCTTGATCCACTGACCTCTAAACTGAAGAGAAGGCTATCTAACCCATTGTCACGTGTAGAGTATAGCTACAAAGGTGGAGAGGAGCCAGGATGATCACAGTCAGCACTGGTTTATAGCAATTCTGAGACCCCAGTGGGCAGATCCTGAGTGGAGTCTTATTCCCTGTGAGGAGAATATCTTTGATATTCCAGAGTTAAGTCTGGATTAACTCTACTCCCAGAGTTGGGCTCCCAAAGACTCTTCTCATTGGCTCTTGACTCCAGTGTCTAGGAGTTTCCTTTTTCCATTAACTGTTCCAGCTGTGGGAACATTGGCATTGAAGAATAAGCCTCCTTTTGGATCCAGATTTTCCAGACTTCAATTTATAATTATAGAAAGAAAAGCAACAGTTAATCTAAGTCTCAAATAGTCACAGACTTTTTTCCAAATCTAATCTTTGGAATCTTTAGGTTCCAAATCTAAAAGCTGGTACTGATGAATTTATTTTCAGGGCAGCAGTGGGAAAATAGACATAGAGAACAGACCTGTGGACATGGGGCGATGGGAGGAGGGAGAGGGTGAGCTGCCTGGGGAGGCATCATGGAAACTTACAACTCCATGTGTAAATAGATGGCCAGTGGGAATTTGTTGTATGACTCGGGAACTCAAACAGGGGCTGTGTGACAATCTCCTTGTTGATGTATGCCTGAGAAACAGAATAATGTAAAGCAGTTACCCTTCAATTTAAAAAAAAAAAAAACCTAGCCAGTCTCTTATTGATAGGCCGGTTTCACGTGTGCTTAGATCTTGTGTCCACATGATTCCAAGGTCTGTGCTCTGCCTTTGTTTCAGATGCCACTGCCTCTACCCAGCCCTTCACTTTCACTTTCACTTCACTCTTTCTCCTAAATTAAGCACAGATACCTTGGCTCTATGAGCCTTCAGTGGAGAAGTCTTGTATTAGTCTCTTGTCCTTGGAGCCGTATTTGTGCAATTAAAAAATTTGCACAGTGACAACCTGTTTAGAGATTTTTAGCTATGGGTCTCAATCATTTCTGCAAAGATGAGTTTCAATAGGCTTTTAACACTCTAAGCATTTCTTGATCCTATGACTCACTGATGGGGATGAGAAGCATTTGTTTCTTCCATTCCTACAAGAATCAGTACTTGTTTTATCTTTCTTTTCTCTTTTGTCAACTAAAGAAAAACACACACCCTAAAAGTTGCAACTTAAGTATTATTTGGGGATCTTACTGGGGACTTAGGGTTTCTTTGGTGGCTCCGTGGTGAAGAATCCACCTGACAACGCAGGAGACGTTGAGTTTGACCCCTGGGTTGAGAAGATTCCGTGGAGAAGGGAAGCCTGTTGGGCTACAGTCGGTGGGGTTACAGAAGAGTCAGACATGACTTAGAGACTAAACAAAACAGCTGAGGACTTAGGCCTAGGATGCAGCCTCTTAGCTCTAAGGAACTGCTCTGGAGAGTTAAGGAGGAAGCCAGGATACAGAGTTTTTTGCTGGGGAAAAAATGTAGTCAAACATCAAGAGATCACTGATAATTACAAAGAAGAAGTATCTCAAGTTAATGATTTTGGTGCTCTTCTATGTATGAGATGTAAGAATCAGGGTTCGTTGAAATTATCCCTTAGGTATTTATCTTAAATATCTAGGGCCAGTTTCCAAATCACAAAATGCTTCCTTTTTTTTCCCCCCATCCTGAATTCCCCTCAGGGTGTACCACTGGAGATGTGTGGAGGGGGCCACTGCAGTGGCTGATGGCTTGGTCCTTGTAGAACTGGAAATTTGGGAAAAATACTCTGTTTACTGGAATGGCAGGCAACAGTCCTTGTTCATACTTTCATAACTGCTTTCAAACTGGACATTTACCCTCAGAGGTAATTTGTTTCCTGTGTTAACTTACCAAGCATAGTCAATAGCAGTTATGTCATGTTTTTTCACCTTAATTGTCTGTTTAAGGCCTGTCTTCCCTGACTGGAATATTAGCCCCATGGAGGCAGAGACTTTTCCTGTTGGCACAGTTCTGGGCCTTCAGTGGTTTGCAGGGCCTGACAGTGCAGCATAGATGATGAATGAGGAATTAGTTAATAAAAGGTCAGATTGGTCTGTTGAATTACCTCTCAGAAAGGTTCTGTTAAAGAAACTCAATGAAAAGTTTAAATATGAGATTTGTTGAGAATTACTGAACTATGTAAAAACAATTCATTTATAATATCTAATATGGAAGAAAACTATGAAAGATATTAAGATCACTAACCATCTAGATCCTCTTTATTGTGGACCTAAAGATAGTCCTTTAAACTGTGACTGGGGGAAGAGCCCCAGAGGTGGTCCAGACTTGAGACATTTCTCTGGGTCTCACAGTAATGTCAACCGCATCCTGTATCTAATGTACTGTGCATACTGGGGTTGCTTCCAGTGACAGGAAAAATTTGCGCCTTCAGCCCTCTGTTGGAATCGGCGTTTGACTTGGGTGCTGCCAGCCCTGATTTTTTTTGTTGTTGTTGCTGCTTGTTGTTTTCCTGTTTGGTTTGGGTTCATTTGTTATTTGAGAAGGCTCTTGGATGAAAATGATGGCTTTTATTAGTATATAAGCTAATACTCTCTGGATCATTTGTGTGGTGCCCGGCACTAGAGCTTTTTATTTAGTCATTTCCTTCCATATAACTCCTTTAAGAAGTAGATAGACACTACTCTTCTATTTATTTTATGACTACAGTTGGGTACTGCTTAGCGACTGAACTGAGAGAATGCTAGGTTTTGCTCCCTGCCAGAACTTGGAGTTAGGAATATAGGAAGCCCTGCATCTATGTTCTGAATCATTTTATACCACCTCTTGGCCTCTCACCATACTTTATGTATTTATTACAATTTACTATTTACAGAGCATCTTCACAGTTGACTAATGATATTGGTTACCTTTGTTAAGTGACTCTCATGTTGATCCAGGCATGATAAGTGCTAACAGAAAGGGGACATGGGCAGATGAGGATGAAAACATGAGCAGAACCAAACTCCTGAGAAAGAAAACAAAGCCTGCAGAAAGTCCACTAATAGAAATGTCTTTCGTCTCCTTTTACTCTGTTTCAGGAATATCAAATTGACATATTTTTTGCTCAGACCTGGACTGACAGTCGCCTTAGGTTCAACAGCACAATGAAAATACTTACTCTGAACAGCAACATGGTGGGGTTAATATGGATTCCAGATACGATCTTCCGAAACTCCAAAACCGCAGAGGCTCACTGGATCACCACCCCCAATCAACTCCTCAGAATTTGGAATGATGGGAAAATCCTTTATACTTTAAGGTGAGATGCTAGTGAATCTTTAACCCCCCTAGTGGTCTGACACTGGGGACTTTAGATCAGTGTAGGAATGGGACCCTATTTTCATTGCTAAGTTCTATCACTTCTCATGTTCAGCATGCTACTGGGTCTTGAAGAAGTTTTTCCTAATCCCACATGTGCAAAACTATGTCATACAAATAATCTTTAATGAATATAAACTCATTCCTTCATTAGCATCCATTTCTGCTAGAAGTGGGCTGTAGAAATTACCTTTAATATGTTTAACCCACAGGTCCATTCAGCTAAGAAATGAAGATGTCTTGGTGTACTAATTGACAAATCTAATTATAGCCAAATTTGAGACCACAAGGAACAAAAGAACACAGAAGGTGTTCTCTAATGCATCCTTAATGGAAGTGACAGCTACCTTGTAATGAGCCCTCCTGGGGGCCAGGCTGTCCTCACAGAAAACCAGTAAGGTAATAGTGGCTCGGTTTAAAAGAATGTGAGCTCACTTGCCTGTCCAAAGTCTCCATTGGGAACTAATATCGCCTGGGTTTGAACCTGGGTCTGTCTCTCAAGAGTCCCTCCTGTAGGGTGACCCGAGTCTCACTGAACACGTGACTGCAACATACCATAGAATGTATGGTAGGCACCTGCAGCACTTTCTGCTCATCCAGCACTGGGATCAAGGGGGCCGCCCTCCCAGTCTCTGAGGCCTCTCTAGGGCACTGGCCTGACCGCCTTGTGGCGACGGTCTCCTTCTCACTGACTTTGCGGCTCTGCGGCTGCTTCCTGCCCCTCCTGTCCTGCTCCTGACACAGGCCCGCCTCATTCTGCTGCTCCTGCCTTAGGACTTTTCCCAATTTCCACTTTACTGCTGCCTTAGCTCATCCATTCCTCAGGCTTTAAAAGCCATATCCATGCTGAGGATTCATCCCACATGTTATTTCCAATCCCTAATATCCCTTCTGGGCACCAGATTCTTGGAGCTACCTGCCCATGTGATGTTTCCTCATGAAATCCCACAGGCATTTGACTCAGCTTGCTCCCGGGCAAGGTGACTGCTCTGGTACCTCTGACTGTGGCCGCGTGTGCTCCTGCTTGGAGAATACCACTGCCAAGCCCTGAACACACCTTCCTCCCCTACATCCAGCATGAGGGGCTTTTAATTGCAAGTGATTTGTGGTCATAAGGAAAAACCTGTAACTCATATGGTAAATAAGTATTAGTCACATAGATAAAGGCACAGATTAGCATCAAAATAGGCAGAAGAGTAAAGAATTTTAAAGTTTCAGGGAAAAAAATAATGTTGGCAGACTGGGAACAGCAACAAGAATGCCACAGGAAACTCTACTGATGAGTTACATTTGTAAAACAGGACTTGTTAATAGCTATTTCCTCATCAATTCTTAGGAGAATATAAATGAGACTCTGAAATGAATGTGAGCTTCAGCAAACCATAATAGAGACATGGCCAGTCCTGGGATCCTTTACAAAAACTCAAACCCCAGGAAGTGCAGTCACCCCCTGCCTGTTCAAGTGGGGAGGCTGGCCAAATGTGAAATCTCCCCTGCAAGTGGATGAACCTGGCATCATACCTAACTAGGCAAATAAATCCATTTCAAAATGGAGGAAGAAGTTAATTCAGTCAAGCAAATTAAAAACAAAGATATGTGACAGCAAGGGCATGTTGTTTCAATTTGTTTCCTCACTTACTTGGCCTGTATTTCTACACACACGGAGTTTAGTAATAGACATTCCCTTTGATTCTCATAGTTAAAAGTAAAACAGAGTGACACGACCCAGAAAAGCCAAATGGTTATACTGAATGGGTAGTGCTCTTGCCAAGACTGAATTCCGTGGGGCCGCCCCAGCCCCCTGCCCCCGAGCTGTGGTAATGTGACGGCCGCTGACCTTGCCTAAGGCCTTTGCTGGCTTGCTCCTGGCTGACCACAATGACACTTGGCTCCCCCACAGGCTCACCATAAATGCAGAATGCCAGCTGCAGCTGCACAACTTCCCCATGGACGAGCACTCCTGCCCGCTGATCTTCTCCAGCTGTGAGTACTGACGTGGGGTGTGACTGTCCAGCCTATGCTGTTTTCTAGTAACCAGTCGTATGACTGACCGTGGCATTGCGGTACTACTGAGGAATTAGTGCTCTCTGTACTGTCTGAGGAAACAGACAGCAGTTTTGGTCTGGACCACCTGAGGGTTTTCACTCTAGATTCTGTTACACAGGACCCATGTTACAAATATGTAGCTTTGATAAACCCTTGAGCAGCTTAAACCATTTGTCATAATAGTAAAGAACTCAGAAATTGATGAACTGTTGACTTACCAAAGACCCTTCTGCTAATAAGCTGTGTGTACTATTTGAATGTATACAGAATTCCTTTGCAATAATTTTAGGTTTAATATCATCTTCAGTCAGTTGGTTTCTCTTCAAAATAAAAAGATAGAGTTTTTGCTTAAATATATTTATATCTGTCTCATTATGCTACAGATGGATGTAATTTTTCATAGTATTTTATTTACTCCAGTTTTTACATAGGATTGATGCTAGAGCTGAGTACTCATTTACTAATTCTTAAAGACCGTGTCTAATGCGAAGTACAACAATACAAGTAAAAGGAAATATCAAATTTATTTGATTATGAAGTTTCAGCATAAAGGCCAATATGGAAATAAACTTGCAAAATTTATGATGGCTCATTTAAAACATATTGACCTCAATACTTAAATATGACTCATAAGAATTCAACTAAGTTTATTGACTATCTTTAAAATTGCGTATGGGATATGACATGTGATGAAGTCTCAGGAAGAAGGTTTTGTGGCTTTCTTCAATAGACATTTCAGTAAAAAGACGAAAGTGAAATAATGGATAAACACATTGTACAGTTCATTTTAAATTCAGAAAAAGACAAGATAGAAAGCAAAATTTCACCTAGGGGTAGATGCAGCCAAGGAGGCCAAAGCCATCGTGAGAAAGAAGAACAAAGCTGAAAATGCCACAGTCCCTGATTTCAAACTATGCTACAAAGCTATAGTTACCAAAATGTGTGACGCTAGCATAAAAACAAACATATAACTCGGTGTAATAGAATAGAGAGCCCAGAAATAAACTCACATGTATGTGGTCATTAATTTGTGACAAAGAAGACAAGAATATATACAATGAAGAAAGGACAATCCCTTCAATAAATAGTGTTGGAAAAACAGGTCAGCTACATGCAAGAGAATTAAATTCAACCACTGTCTTACACTATACACAAAAATTAACTCAGATTATATTAAAAATTGAACATAAGACTTGAAACCATAAAACTCCCACAAGAAAAGTGAGTAAACTCCTTAACATAGGTCTTGGTGATGATTTGTTTAATCTGACATCAAAAGCAAAACCAAAACCAAAAATAAACAAATGAAACTACATATCATACTGAATATCTTCTGAACAGCAAAGAAAACCAGCAACAGAATGGGAGGGCTGCCTACTTAATGGATAAAATATTTGTAAATTATAAGAGACTAATATCCAAAATATGGAAAGAACTCATTCACCTCAACAGTAAAGAAAATTTTTATTAAAAATGGGCAGAAAAGTTAAATAAACATTTTTTCTGACCAGATGGCCGATAGGTAGACGGAAAGATGTTCAATATCATTAATCAGGGAAGTGCAAATCAAAACCACAGTGAGATATCATTTCACACCTATCAAAGTAGCTATCATTAAAAGCACAACAAATACTGGAAAGGATATGGAGAAAAGGAAAGCCTTCTGCACTGATGGTGTGAATTAAATTGGTGCAGCCATTGTGGAAAATGGTATGGATATTCCTCGAAAAATGTAAAATAGAACTACCATTTGATCCAGCAAGGAGAGATAAGAAAGCCTTCTTCAGAGGAGGTGATGGAATTCCAGCTGAGCTATTTCAAATGCTAAAAGATAATTATGTTAAAGTGTTGTACTCAATATGTCAGCAAACTTGGAAACCTCAGCAGTGGCCACAGGACTGGAAAAGGTCAGTTTTCATTCTAATCCAAAAGAAATGTAATGTCAAAGCATGTTCAAACTTCCATACAATTACACTCACTTTACCTGCTAGCAAGGTAATGCACAAAATACTTCAAACTAGCCTTCCACAGTATGTGAACTGAGAACTTTCAGGTGTACAAGCTGGATTTTAAAAAGGCAGAGGATCCAAAAATCAAATTGCCAATGCTTGCTGGATCATAGAAAAAGCAAGGGAATTTCAAAAAAAAAAACCCAGACATCTATTTGCACTTTATTGACGACACTAAAGCCTTTGACTGTGAGGATCACAACAAACTGTGGAAACTTCTTAAGGAGATGGGAATACTAGACCACCTTACCTGCCTCCTGAGAAACCTGTATGCACGTCAAGAGGCAACAGTTAGAACTGGATATGGAACAACGGACTGGTTCAAAATTGGGAAAGGAGTACGTCAAGGCTGTATACTGTCACCCTGCTTGTTTAACTTCTTTGCAGAGTACATCATGCTAAATGCTGGGCTGATGAAGCTCAAGCTGGAATCAAGATTGCCAGGAAAAATAACAGCAACCTCAGATATGAAGATGATACAACTTACATGGTAGAAAGTGAAGAGGAACTAAACAGCCTCTTAATAAAACTGAAAGAGGAGAGCGAAAACACTGACTTAAAACTCAGCTTTTAATAAATGAAGATCATGACATGCAGCCCCACTACTTCATGGCAAATGGCTGGGGGAAAAAAGTGGAAACGGTGACAGATTTTATTTTCTTGGGCTCCAAAATCACCGCAGGCAGTGATTGCAGCCATGATATGAAAAGAGGCTTGCTCCTTGGAAAAAAGCTGTGACAAACCTAGACAACATATTAAAAAGCAGAGACATCACTTTGCCAACAATGGTCTGTCTTCATAACTGGTGTATGTCTTAAACAGAGACAAAGTTGCCCGTTCCCTGCCTGATGTCCCAGTGCATTACCAAGCTGGGCCCTCTTCAAGGTGGAATGTCCTGGCAAACGGGACTTTTGCTTGGCAGGAAAGGAGCCACACAGCTCCTTGAAAGTCCTTTATCTCTTGGATGAGAGAGAAATAGCAGATGCTGAGAAATGGCAGCAGTGGCCCTGTGTACTGTGAAGCAAATGCTCAGGTACAAAATTTCCAAAAGGAAGCCTGTCTTCCAAGGAGAGAGCAATTGTTCACTTGACTGGTCTTAGAGACGCCCAGATTGTTGGTAGAACAGTATTTCTGAGTGTGTCTGTGAGGGTGCCTACAGGAGTCAGTAGATTAGTACAGTGGTCAGCATTTCAGTCAGTAGACTGGGGGAAGAAGATAGCCCTCAGCAGTGTGGATGGGATGGATGGGCGTCATCCAGTCCTCTGATGACCAAATGCAGACATACTTCCTCTTACTGCATTTCACTTTATTGTGCTTCACAGATACTGCCTTTTGTTTTACAAATCGAAATTCATGGCATCCCTTCTAAAACAGCCTTGTTTTTTAATTAAGGTATTAACCTTTTCTCTTTTTAATATGGAATGCCATTGCGTACTTTTTTAATACAGTTCATGGTGTTCTCACAGCAAGAGTACTGGAGTGGTTTGTCTTTCAGGGAGGCCTGGTGTGCTACAGTCCACAGGGTTGCAAAAAGTCACACAGTTTGGTGACACCAACAGCAACAACAAGTTTGCATACTTAATAGACAATTGCATAAAGGAAATGATGTTTATATGCTCTGGGAAACTCTGTGTGACTTGCTTTGTTGCCATGTTTCTTTATTGTGATGACCTGGAACTGAACCCGCAATGTCTCGAAGGTCTGTCTGTGGAAGACACAGGTGAATGACAGCGGTGTTTGCTCTTGGCTTGAGCTGGGACATGCATCTTCAGTTCTCAGATATCAGGCCTCAGACCTGGATCAGGACTGAAAACCTAAGTCTCCTAATTCTCAGGCCTTTCAACTCAGACCAAAGTACACCACCAGCTTTCCTGAGCCTTCAGTGTTTAGAGGACAGATTGTGGAACTTCTCAGCTTCCATATTGTGTGAACCAATTCCTGTAATGCATGATCTCTTATATCTTTATCTCTCTTATCTCTGCATCTATACTTACCTTACTGGTTCCATTTCTCTGGAGAACATTTACTAATACAGGAAGGGAAGTTCTCACCCTTCCGTTCTATAAAATACATGGACTCCAAGGTCCCCAAAATGTTCTTGTGCTCACCTGCTTTGGATGTTGCTAACGGACATTTTTTGGTGTGTCTGAGAGACACAGGGAAGTCCTGTGGCCTGGGGCTGAGAGTGAGAATCCAGACAATGTCCTGGGAACCAGGTTCCCCATCAGGGGCCATGCCAGGCAGACCAGTGTGGAGGGTGAGGGGCATTTTGTCAGCTTGTCTCTTTGCGTGACCCATACTCCTTGAGATGCTCACCTTTCACCCAACCGCTAGGTCATCTTCCCACATGCTGGCCCAGTCATCTTCCTATATGTTTCTGGATCACTGGCCTCTCCAGCTCCTCCCTGACCAAGCCACCTCACTGCTGTGGACACTCACACCTTGGGGGTGGGAGGGTGCTGTCAATGAGGACAGTGATGCCTGTAGCAGAAGGGATGGAGCTTTGAGGTCTCCTCCCATTAACTGTTATCATAGAAACCACTGCTACTTATGATTGCACTGGTTCTGCTGTCCAGTCTTGAAGGCAGGTTGCTCTTCTTCTGGTTCTGAGTGAAATAAGTTGTTGAGAGAGGTTAGGGGCCAGGTCATGGCAGAGGAAGAATGCCTGACTGTAGCCTACCAGGGTCCTCTGTCCATGTTATTCTTGAGGCAAGAATACTAGAGTAGTTTGCCATTCCCTTCTCCAGAGGATCTTCGCAACCTAGGGATCAAACCCAGGTCTCCTGTGTTGTAGACAGATACTTTGCTGTCTAAGCAACAGGGAAGTCATGGACTTTGGGCCATTATGGTGCATCAATGCAGGTTTATCAAATATACACTCTTGATAAAGGGGGAGGCTATGCATGCCAGGGGGATAATATGGAAAAA